GGCAGCGCTGCCGCGGGCTTCGTCGCCGCGGACGCGCTGCCTCTGCCCTGAGCGCCGCCCCCCGCCGGGGCTGCCTTTGTTTACATCCCGCCTCTGCCCTGCCTTTCCGCCGGGTGCGCCGATGCTGCAAGGGGGCTTCTTGCAGCGCTGCTTTCCTCCTCCCTTAGCTGCCCTGACGGTCGCGGTGGCTGCGCTGAAAGTGCCGCATATGTTGCTTAGCTATTTGTCTGGTTGCCTGAGCGAATGCCCAAAGTTGGGCAAGTGTCTGGTGATGGGGATTTGCAGAATATTTGGGCAGCTTAGTCTCCAGCTGGGGTTCTGCAGTAACCCAAATCCTTCATGCTTTGTGCTTTTTCAAAGCCTGATCTTTGAAATTTTCTGTTTGTGGATGAAGCTAATAGAGGCGCTGTTAGATAAGCTCTTACTCCATGTAATCTGCATACTACTGAGTGCAGTACCTTCCCTTAATTTCTGCTGCTTGTTTACACAGTAGCTCTAAGAGGAATATTAATACATGCTCGTATGCTGGGATGTTTCTCAATCCTCTGCAGAGAGGGATGTTCCCCCCTTCAGAGGGAAATTATTGCTGTACAGCCAGGGGACTCTTATCAGCCTGAAAGTGTGCAGTTTCTCATCTGAAAGGCAGGATCTTGTTCCGATCTTTGGGGATTGAAGTTCTAAAGCAACTTTTGTCAGGCCTTTTCCTTGGAGAAGTAGCTTTGCAAAGTGAGCACATATGAGAGTACGTATAGGCAAAAACAATATCAAAGACATCCAAGTCTGTATTCTTTATAGTGGCTTCCAGAGCTTTGTTGGTAAACTGAAATAGAGATGTCTGTGCAAAAACAATATCAAAGACATCCAAGTCTGTATTCTTTATAGTGGCTTCCAGAGCTTTGTTGGTAAACTGAAATAGAGATGTCTGTCCTTTAAAGCTGAGGAGCTTTGCGCATTGATTAGTGCTCCGTTTCAGTGCACAGCCACATAACGGATGTGTCCTGTTGATCATCAAGAAACTGCTACATGGCGGTTCCGGTAAATTTTAGAGGAAAGCAGGTATTTGTGAGTAAGAATGTTTTTAGGGGTTGCCCTTGCCAGGTTTCTTTCTCTTTTGAATTGTCAGGTACCACCCATTACTTTCCCTTTCATAACGGCAGGCACCTTTCTTTCCCCAATTCTTGAAGAAATTGAAAATGGGCCTCCTACTTTAATGCCCTGTATGCACAAATTACATTGTTATGTGCAGTTTGTGCAGTAAAGCCTAAAGTAACAGTGTTGCTATGACACAACTTCTTCATAGCACTCCTGCGGTCCTCAAAACCCTATTTGGTGCTCTAGGTGCTGTGCCATTCACCGTATTGTTTTAATATTGCCCATCAAGCTTTTGAGGGCAAGTTTTACAAGTATAATTACCTCTGCATGTGACACAGATTGCTCTGTGCACAGGCATACTGAATTTTGTACAGCTGGAATTCATGCAAATTATTCACTCCTTCTCCTTTCCATGCCGAGTCAATAGGATACAAACAGAACATGTCGTGGAATTCATGCAAATTATTCACTCCTTTCCCTTTCCATTCCGAGTCAGTAGGATACAAACAGAACATTTCAGAATACATACTCCTTGGATCTTCTCTTGATGTCCTTCCTGTCTCTTTCCGTGGCATCTAATTTTAGATGTTGTTATGCTCCGCTATAAAAATTCTAATCAGTCATTCTGAAAAGAATGTTAAATCAGGAGTAAATGGTAGAGAAGTGTGAGGAGGATCATCAGAGGAATGGAAAGGGTTTCTGCATGAGCAATAGCAAAACAGACTATGAATTTCTTTAGCTTGGAAAACAGAGGGCTGAAACATGGCGTTGCCTTCATTGTTTTATGTACCTCTAATGAAGGTGATCTGGAGTGAGAGTTCATGTTGTTTTTTTCTTTTTTTTTTGTCTTAAGGAGTTGTGGGAAGCACTCATTGCAATTGTCAGGCAGAAGAGGCACATCTTTTTTTGTACCTGCCTGATTAAGTTGTCGGACTCGTTGTTGCAGGAGCCCGAGAAGTGTAAATGGCTTAAAGGGACTAGACCAATGAATGGATCACAGGTCTCTCAGATGTTGTTTGACCCTGTGTCTTATTGAATCCTCCTCCTTCTGGCAAAAGGGATAGTTTTACACTGCCTGTGAGGATGCATTAAAAAACTCTCCCAAAGTATTTACTACCAGTCGCGTTGAGTGCCGAAGTGAATGAGAGGGACCATCTTTTCAAATGACAATTTTAGCTGATGGGAAGGCTTTCAGAGCATGGGACCTGGGGCACTTTATTTTCCTCCCTCTTTAGTTCCGTGATCTGTCCCGAGACAAATGACAGCCCTTGGTCTCTGCAAAGTGCCAGTGTCTCCTTTTGTTGCAAATACACAGAGTGATTCCATCAGATGTGCTTCCGTCATGCAGGATAGTTATTATTATACTGCATCTCTTTGTGTATAGTGTAGTAATTACAAAATAAGAATCAGAAAGCCCCTAATAGCTGCATATCTTTGTCATCTCTGATTTCAACAAACAAACCCAACTGGTTTTCCTTTTACCGGGACTCTGGAATTTAGATATCTTCTTACGTAAAGTATGTTGCCACTCACTACATGGGTTAACTGTTTACATCGAGCAAATATACAGGCGTATGAAGTCATCGGAGGAGGTGGTATTTGCGCTGCTGCTCTGGACATCTAATCTTTGGTGCCCACTTAAGGCAGCTGTTCTCCTTAGAGGCCTTTTTTAGTCACTGTGAAGAGCTGCTTTGACCTGCCCTTAGTGGAGCCTCTCTGCACTGGGGCCTGAGCAGAAGAGGCTCCCAAATTTACCCTGTCTGTTTTAGATGACCAGTGTTGCTTGAGTCCTGTGCCATAACTGGTGATTTCATAGCAGTGGTGTGTGCCCCAGATCAGTAGAGGTCACTTTATTTGTCCAGAACTGGCAGTTTCTTTGTACTGAATGTTATTAGAAAACTCGATCTTGTTTGACTTGATTTTGAAGTTGCGAGAAGCTGGTGGGACTGGCTGGTGTAGCTCAGGGCAGGCTGTGGCTACACCTCACTGCAGATGGGATTTGTTTGCTGTTTATTTATTAGCAGCAGGCAAGATTTCTGGTACAGTCCAAGGAATAGGTAAACTGCTCAGGTGATGCAACACTGAGTTTCTCGGAGTTGTTGTGCAGCTGTCAGGTCCTTCAGGATGGAAACTTCAGTGGTGAACTGGCTGTGTGTTAATAGTGCTCCCTTAAAGGTACTGTTTAATCCAAATGCCTCGTTTTGATGTGCTGCTGGCTGAGCATTATAAACTTAAAATGACTTTAATCTTCCATTTTTCTTTTTCTAAAGAAC